TTCTTAACACGTTCAAAGGTTACGTAACCTATCTGACACTTGGTTGGCACAGTGAACTTATGCACCAAGCAAGCCGCGACGGTTTGAATCTGAAACAACATACATATCTTTCGACTACCGTAATGGCATGATCTTCCATGCCCAGCATGGGCGTGGAGAACGATGCTCTCCGCGAGCGCTATCAGGGCGTTCTAAGCTCCAAGAATCAAACAGATATTGACACTCTTCGAAGACTTGTATTACTGGAAGGGCTTCCCAATGATGCAAACAAGCTGAATACGGTGGAGTTCGGTAGGTGTTCTCTTCGTGGGATCGTGTGGAAAGCACTTCTCGGCGTGGGGCCAGTAGACCCTAGCGAGTACTCTTCTCTTGTTCGGAAAGGTCCTTCATCAGAAGATTCTCGCGTTAGAGAGGATGCACGTCGGACGTTTTCTAAGAGCGATGACTTCACGACTCGCGTCCCTACAGAAAAAATCATAAGACTCCTTAACGCCTATGTATGGTCATGTGATAATCAAAGAGGTATATATGCACAGAGCATGAGTTTACTCGCAGCACCGTTTTTGTACGTCATGCCTGAACCCGATGCGTTTCACTGCTTTCGAATATTTCTTGAGCGCAAGGTACCGTCGTACGTCAAACGCTATTCTGGGGCTCGGTATGGGTGCGAGTTACTCGAAAAATGCCTTATGGCTACTCACCCAACACTGCATCAACTTTTCACAAGACACGGGTTAAATCCGGAAGTCTACGCCTTTCCTTCGATTTCCTCTCTGGGAGCTTGCGTTCAACCGATGTCAGACACAGTACGCTTGTGGGACATACAACTGGCGTACGGTGTACATATGCATATACTCTTTACCCTTGCCAGACTTCATCTTGCCAGCGATACAATAATTGAAACCGCTCGTAACTCATCATCAACACCTTTAATAACACGGGAATTGGAACAAGGCCTTGGACTAGACGCAGAAACGGTTTTAGCGAGGGCAGTGCCTTTAGTCGCACTGCTTGAACCGAGCCTTTACAAGAAACTTGTGGCACATTCCGTACGACTTCCTGACGATTCGCTCGCAACAACCCAGCGCGAGGCGCCTCTTGACAAACGTATGCTGGAACGTTTAGACCTGATACGCACTATGAGGAGTCCCCTCCCATCCTCACCCCCCTCAGAGAGTCCGCAAGGAGACCAAGAACGTCTAGAAGCTTCATGCGAGGACGAAGGAAGTTGAGGGAACTCATGAGTTTCTCTACTGCGCAAAGGTGTTACGTATATTGAAGCAGGCTTATATATTGTGGTGGCGGTTTATGAAACAGTTGGGCTGAAGGTGGTGGTTCATAGAACAGTTGGCCTGAAGTTGGTGGTCATAATGTAATTGGGCTGAAGGAGTAATGTTTCGTAATACCGTTCGACATCCGTTGAGTTTCCAATATGAACTCATTATCAAAGCATTGGGCTTTACAGGATTTCCAGAACGGCTAATTAGAGTCCAGAAAGAGTTCTTGGTGTTGAAGTCGCGCCTCCCGTACGGCTTTGAAAGCGCTTCAGAATGCTTTGACCTGCTTTGCGCGAAATAGGTATTGTTTCTATGGTGCACTTCTAATGTGTCTGTCTGAATTTGCCCATTAAGCTCCAGTTTTGACTCAGGTGAAAGACGTTCAGATTCGATACGCTTATGTCGTTTTCATTGCTTGCTGTTCAGCCTTTTGATTTAGAGGGCTCAGGGAACTCTGTCCGTATTAAGCTACGACAAAACGATCTACTTTCACTGTCGTTATTATCTTCTGACTTCGTCGATAGGACAGAAATCATATCTGAAGTAACTCTTTCCTCTGAATCACTTGAGGTTCGATTATCGTTCACGGCAGGGATAGCTTTCCTTGTTTCTAATCCATCACCGTTGCTTGGTGTTCTACGATTCTGTAGCAATGTATCCATCAACCGAGATACTCTCGCACACACAGGTCCTTGAATATGAGCGGGTCCTTGAAACGTTTCCAAAAGTGCACTTCTGAGCTCTTGCGTTTTTGTCATGTCATGATAAGAAACGGCCTCGGAATTTGCCTGAGGGTGAGCGTACCCCTTACTCGCGCCTTCTGCTTTCGGTGTACGTCCCGTGCCCCAATCCGCGCCAAGAAGTTTTTGAAGATTGCTATAAGGCTTTGACTCGTCGGTCTCGTCGGAGGGACTCGTCATTTCGACAGTGACAGTAGAAACTGTATCATCGACCATGCCTTTGGCTTCATATACTGTGACCTGGGAGGTGGAGTCAAACGATACCAAAGATCGATGGGGTGCTTGTTTTGCGTTGAGCTGCTCCACAAAGGCCAATGCCATCACTTGAACACCTGGAGGAAGACGGTGGACTGTGACGGGTATTGGTGACATTGCGTCGAAGATAGCGATAGCCGTATCTGACGAGATACTCTTGTTCCGAAGAGGGGGCTCATCCACATGATCCTTCCGGGTGCTCACTTCGTTTGCCACCTGTGTTGTCTCTCTCCTCACATCTTTGCGTTTTCTTTCACGTCTTTTCAAGACTCTTTGGGAACCTAGTTTACTCTTCATTGTTTCATCTAGGCATGCCATTTCCGAGACGTGTACTCCCTCCTGAACTGGTTGAGTTAGATTACTCTTCATTCCGACCCCGCTTGCCGAATTGACGAGTGGTGGAATGTGAACTGAAAGAGCAAACCGATTAGACAAGTCATCGACTGCAAGGCTGCTAGGATCACAAGAAAACCTCAGCGACCACCATATGCCTTGCGTTATCACATTCCACGCGTATACCCCATGCTTTGTAGCCGCAAGAAGAATAGGTATTCTTGCGTGTATAAAAGAGAGCTTTTGAATGACCTCATGGTGTGGTGGATGTATTAAAACTCGCATTAGCTCAAAACTGATCGACGGAAGTGGTATAGGTGCATCTGATTCATGCTCTAAATTCATATGTACAGGATCGGAGTCTGAGTCTAACGCAGGTGTATCGACCGTCCACAAAGTTATTAGGTTTCCGAAAGCCACGGCCTTCATTGAACCGTCGTCCGAGAAGGCAACAGCGTTGCATGGGAGGCCTTTGTACATCTTTTCATATTCGCAACGCCACAACTTCAGTTCAGAGTCTGTTGTACTCCATAGCCTCACTGTACCACTCGATGAAGAGGTCGCTAAGCATGGCATAGTCGGATGAAAGCACATGCTCGTAACAGCACCTTCGGGTCCGTGAGGAGCACTTATCACTGTCAATAACTGCAGCGCACCAGCAGCATCTTGTTGTTTCCATATTCGAAGCGTATAGATACCTTTCTTCGCGCCGTATAACCTAGTGTCTGCAGTTTTTAGATCTTGAAAGTCCACAGTAGCCAGCAAGTGAGCGTTCTTGTGGACGGCCATCAATGTGACGACCAGCTGATCGGGATGAAGCTGTGCATCGTTCTGTTGCTGAGGTTCATATACAATGTTCTTGGGGGTAACCATGACCTCAGTTACTTGTTGACCTCCATGAACATCGAACAGCTGGATTGAAGGGGCTGTCCCAGATAACCAGACTCTTGCAGCATTGCTTTGGTCAACAGTTGCACACATGTGCTTCATTGAAGAGCGGTCGAATCTGGATGAAAAGAGATGTGTTGGATTGTCTGCGGTGATATCCATTAATCGGACTGCAACCCCACGAATGGTATGCTTCACCTCACTGGTACGTTGATCAATGACACGCACGGCGTTATCCGCATGCGATGTCGCGTAGTACTTTTCGTCGGGGGAAACGGATAACCCGACAACAGGTGCTTTGAGTCTTGGTAGGAACGATCTAGTGCCAAAACTGGTTCGACTCATTTGCCATGACACGAGAACAGCTTCATTTCCAGCGGATAGTAATACTTGCCCATCGTGGGAAAACGCAAGTGCTCGCACCGCAGATGCGTGCCAATGAAGCCTCGAAACATTGAGTGCGTGGGGTCTAACGACCTTCTTTCCTTTCTTTGACTGTTGCAATGTCAAGCTAAGGTTGTGATAGACCCAAATAACCCCTGTTTCATCAGCAACAGCCAACTTGGAGCCGTCCGGGTTAATCGCCAAGGAAGTAAGCTTTCGTCGCGAGTATACGGTCAAAACGAACTGGCAATTGTTAGCTAAGGAAGCTAAATGCAATGCATGTCCCTCAGCAATAGCGATAAGCTCCCCATATTCTGTGGCAGCAACCAATCCTTCATCTCTCTTAAAAAGGTCGTTGAAGGTCTTTGAGATGAAATGCGAACGAGCTCGACTCCTTGCCTCTAGATCGACGATAAGGAGGGTGTCTTTTGTGTAGCAGAGTATCTTCTGTGAGGCAAGGTACGCCATTGAAGAAACCGGGTGGGCAACCTCTATGGTTCGCATGCATTGACCGCTTTGAAGGTCCCAGATACGAATTGTACCATCGCTGGAGGCTGAGGCCAGGCGCATATCTAGAAGTGAGACAACACTGTTTATGGGCGAGGTATGACCAATATGAGACGACACACATTTCGGAGGGCGCTCGAAAACATCATACGTGCGAAGAAGGCAACCGAACGGAATTGTGACAAATCTTGATGAAGATGACCAAGCGACAGGGTTTGACGCGATAAGGCCGGATGTAGGGATGACCATTGTGGCAATGATGGGGTGTAGAGAAGCAAGAAAAAAAGACGAGGGAGAATAAGAAGTAGATGGCACGTGTTTAGGGGGTTTTCCTTCTGTGAAACGTTCTTTTCAGAAATTGTTCTCACATCCCTCTGAACGAGATGACCAAAGTTTGCCGGATTCCACAAGAGAGGATAAAAGGCAATACCGTTGTATACCAAAGGCACGATACGTTTTACCAAGAGTGTTATACAAATTTGTATGCTCGAGTCTCGACGGCGGTGCGCCAAAGGCGCAAGATAGTAAAAGGAACGCAATTGATCCTTGATCAAACTTCTGTGGGACGCTAGAGCGCACACCGTGCTAACTGGCAAAAAAAAGTAAAATAGTGGTGCGAACCCGGCGGGACTCGAACCCGCAATCTATAGATTAGAAGTCTATCGCCTTATCCATTAGGCCACGGGTCCATGCTGCGAATGGAAGCCAGCGATGTTTAATCTTTATTTATACCTGAAGTGAACGACTGGGGTCCAAACTGGTTTTTTACATGTGTACAAGTGTTGAGCACTCAGCAGCACACACATCAGCGGCACTCACATGAGATGGGCTCACGGCTTTTGTGGCTATCATCTCTCTTCATCAGAATTCTCGATTCCTCGTCGTGTTTCGTCAACAGAAGCAGCAGTGTCTTAGCCCACGCACGCAGATGGCGATTCATCCTTTACAGAAGGTCAGGGTTATACATGCCACCAAACTTGAGTCACGCAACGGCATGCAATTACCCTATAGAGCGCCGCGGTGCCCAAACTTCTCCTTCTTCACATCATACTGCAATAGTCAGAACCAAGGCTCTGCTCTGCCAGTACGCCGAAACGCTGATGCTTTGAATCACCGCGCGCCATCACGTCAGCTTCGTAGCCTCAGCTTCGTAGCCTCAATTCCTGTACACCGACTGTCGAAATCGTTTGCGGTGACTTCCTCCACTCTCTTTCGCATTGTAACTCGTGCCTACGCTGCTTAGGTCTTTGCATCTCGATCACGTCTTCATGCTCGTTTCGTGAACACCATAAATGTCGCCCCGTCATCCGCGCTTACGATATGAGGCGATGTCACCGTGTTTTGTAGTCCCATTTGTAGCGAATGCCCGAGGCCAAGAATATCGCTCAGCCGCACACATCCCTTCAAAACTATCGTCAAGAAACCAGCTGGAACTTAACGGTTCAACCTTCAGACTGCGATTCATTCGCGGGAGGTCCAAAAAACCCGATCGTGTCCGCTTCTTTTCTCCTACGGCATCGTTCACGAGCTCCAATAGCGCTCCTGACAAATCCCATTTGAGAGAATCAAAAGCTACCGACGGAGGCATAGATGGAAAGCCGCCGCCACGGCCGACCCCAAACCATCTCATCTTTGAAACTAGCAGGTACCTGGTTGATTCCGCCTACGATGAGGTAAGGTGGTACCCCTGGGGCAATGAGGCATTTCAGGCAGCACGAGCCACGCAAAAACCTATACTTCTGTCCACGGGCTTTTTGAGCTGTCACATGTGCGACGTAATGTCGTCTCATTTTCGCGACGCCGACATTGCCGAAGTCTTAAATGAGAAGTTTGTATGCATCAAAGTTGATCGTGAAGAACGACCAGACGTTGATTCGGTCTACAACTCTTTTGTGCAAGCTGTAACGGGCAGAACAGGTTGGCCTCTTACATGCTTTCTCACCCCGAAGCTTGTTCCGTTTGTCGGTACAACATATCTCCCAAAAGATAGACTCAAGAATGCTGTCACGTCTATTGCTGAAAGATGGGTGAACAGCCGCGAGCAGGTGGAATCAGACGGAAAAAAGGTTATTGACGCGTTGCGGGATCTTTTTGCCTTCAAGCCCGTCAATTCGCAAGAGGAGTTCAGCCTGAACACAATTAACCAAGCTTTCAATACAGCGGTCACAAGTTTTGATGTCGAAAACGGAGGTTTTGGTTCAGCACCAAAGTTTCCACGCCCGTCGGTGTTCGAGTTTTTGCTCTCGGTACACCAGTCAAGTTATTTTGATGACAGAATTCGTTCAGAATCTCTTGACATGGTTCTGGACAGTTTGCTAAATATTGCTGCTGGTGGAATTCATGATCACGTAGGAGGCGGGTTCTTCAGGTACTCCCTTGATGCATCCTGGCAAGTTCCACACTTTGAGAAGATTCTGTCTGACCAAGCACAGCTGGCGATGTCCTTTTTACAGTCATTTCTCCTAACAGGAGACGAACGACTCAGGCAGGTTGTATGTAAGACTTTGGATTTTGTAATGCGAGAAATGCGGGACAGTGAAAGTGGTGCCCTTTATAGCGCCATACATGCAGACTCCCAGCCTTTGTACGATGTTACCAAGAAAGCTGCGGAGGGTGCTTTCTACACTTTCAGCTCTTTTGAGTTAATGCTTATTCTTGGCGAGCCCGCCAACACCATCTTCCAGAAACGTTTTGGTATCACAGCGGCCGGTAACGTTTCCGAATCAGCAGTGGCAAACGCTGAGTACAGTGGTTTGGAAGGTCTCAATATCTTGAGAATTTCTTCGTCTATGTCTCAGATTGCCGATGAAGTTGGCCTCCCAGAAGAACAAGTGGAGAGTATACTGGCTGAGTCATTAACCAAAGTCTTGGAAGAGCGTCAGCGGAGGCCGAGACCCCGGACGGATGATCTCTCAATCACGTGTTGGATGGCATTAACGATATCTGCCTTTGTGAGAGCCGGTGCATCGTTGCGGAGACCTGACTACATCGATGTTGCTCTTACAGCTGCGAACCTCATAAGAGAAAGGATGGTCCTTCGCGTTGATTGTGAACGAGATGCGGCATATCTCTGCCGGGCGTACCGGGGGAAGCCTGGAAAAATAGAAGCCTTTGCAGAGGATTACGCATACGGCATTCAAGCCTTTCTCGACTGCTATGAAGTCACCGGAGACTCAGACTATCTGCTCTTTGCGCGACAACTACAGAATGCGCTAGATGCCCAGTTTTGGGAAAATGAGGGTTATAGCAATGCAATGAAAGGCGATAATGAAATTCTGCTGAGAAGAACGGAGAACTATGATGGTGCTGAACCGGCCGCGTCAAGTGTGGCGGTCCTCAATTTTGTCCGCATGTCCTCTCTGTTTGGGGATCAAGAGTTATGGAGTCGTGCGAAACGCGTACTGAGTTCTTTCAGTACTACTTTCGAGTCAAGCCCCCTTTCCATGCCGTTTTTGCTGGTTTCAGCATACCCTCTCATCACTGACCATCCGCAAAAAGTCGTTGTTGTTGGTAGTAACAACGAAGTCTCCAGTTTATTGCGTGCATGTTGGTCTAGGTGCCTTCCACGTCATGTTAGTATGCTGAGACTACCTCTCCAGCTGCATTCTCATCCGCTGTCCAAGTACTCCTTCAAACGAAAATCGTTAACAAGCATGTCGTCAGAGCACAAGACCGCATTTGTCTGTACTGGCGACGTTTGTCTCGAACCAACGGCTGATCTTGGACGATTTCTTGCTGAACTCGATGAGTTATGAATCCATCAAGCGACGCAGGCCTCTCCGTCCGCAATCCGGGTCCTCCGTCAGCTGTATAGCACATTCCGTTAGGTGGGGAATGCGGAATCAATCTGATTGTCCTATGATAATGAAGTTACAGAAGTGTGAATTTCCCCAGAAGTATTGTCTAACTTATGCTATTTCTTTCGAAAAGCGGCTGCTTTCCGTAGCGCGCCTTTCCCCGCAAAAGGAAAATTAATCCGAAGCATAGTCTTGAAGACATCAGCTCTTCACATGCAGCGAATGTCACTAACCTGTGTGAGAGCGCAGAATCTTAACCTCGCACCCTGCACCGTCCAGTGACGAGCTAATGCATATTGCCGTCATACGGAACTCGTTTTTCCATTTTGAGGCCTGTAAGAGACACAGTCATTCTTTAGGGGATCTTCTGCAAAAGCCATAACTTCATCACAGCACTCGACAGTCTCACAGTTGACCTGAATGGTTGCATGAGAAATTCCAAAGTCCTCGGCAAGCATCTTCTGCGCATCTTTCACAACATCATGTCCAGCCGACACGTTTTCCTTATACAGGTGAACGCTGAGTGCCGGTCTCCTGGACGTGATTGACCATACATGTAAATCACCAACCTTGCTAACACCATCAAGCGTAAGAAGCTTCGCATGAATGTCATCGAGCTTCAACGACCCCGGAGTACCTTCCATCAGCACGGTCATTGTTTCTCTCGCAAGATTCTTGGTTGTCATAAGAACTATGACGGCAAACAACAGGGTGCAAAGAGGGTCGATGAAAGTCCACGAAGGTTTGAACGTCATGACAATAGCTGCGACAATGACTCCGACGTTTTGTAAAGCGTCACCAAGAACATGGAGGTACGCAGCCCTGAGATTGGCAGACCTTTGTTCTTTATGAGCGACTGGTCCGCGGTGGGCCGTGCCTTGAGAGGAGCTGGATTTGTGGTTGATGCCTTTACGGTCTTTGTGAAAGCCGTTAGGTCTGTGATCGCTATGTCCATTCCCAATGTCATGCTCATGGTCGTGTTCGTGGCCGTATTCATGTTCATGGGCGTGTTGGTCCTTATCATTGCTCTCGCTGGAGTAGTGATCATCGCCAGTAAACATGTAACCGTTCTCTAAATCGTTCAGTCGTTGAATACCTTTTCCCGTCTCGTTCAACGAAACGTGGTTCGGAATAAAATCGTTGCGGACGTGATGGTCATGGTGATGATGCTCTCCATGACTGTGACCATGATCATGAGAATGGCCGTGTCCGAGTACAAATCCTAGCACAAGGTTAACCAGCAGACCGATGATACCCAAGATGAGCATGAGGGGGCCATGAACTGGTTGTGGATTAAACAGTCTCTCAATAGCAAAAACGACCAACACCATTGTAAGTGCCCATATGAAAAGTATTGAAACAAATGCACCAAGAACCTCGGCTCGAGCGAAACCAAAACTCATATGAGCGTTAGGTGGCAAGCGAGAAACTGAGACAGCTATCAACGATATTACGAATCCAGCCAGGTCAGAGAGAAGGTGTGCTGCATCTGACATTATGGCCAGGGAACGTGCTAAATGGCCTCCTACTAACTCGACAATAAAGAAGAAAGTCGTGAGTCCACATGCATAAACAAGAGTCCGCGTTTCGCTCTCAGTGTCAATCGCTGGGGCTGAAGCTGGTCTAGGTAATAGTGAGTCTGTCTCTGTGGCGTGCCTATCGGAAGCTGTGCGTGGCTGGGACAGAACCCTTGCCGCAGAATCGTTGTCATCGCCGTCGCTTGGGTCGTCGTAGGCGAAAAAATGATTGTGCAAAGGCATAATGAAGCGACGAATAGCTGTCTGCTTCCTAGACGATGGTGAGTCGAAGGGGAAGCAAACAAGAAAAGGATGGGAATCCAAATGAAAAGAAAGCAATACCCACAATGCTGCCTAGCTTAGCTCTTAAGAACC